ACGCTGACAGCCATAGCAATGTCAGTCGGCCCAATGGCCAACAAACCGAATAAAACCTTTTAAAGTTGCACTTTGATTGATGAAAGTAACAAGAAAGTGCCACTCAGTGGCTGTCAAACTTTCATTGACGGCGACAAGTCGAAAATCAAGAAATAGAAAGTGAAAATGAATTTTGACGCGGAAAACGAACACGACCAAGTCAATAGGTCAGTTTACCTTTTCTATAGTTCAAAAAGATTAAGATTACTCAAAAATACTAATGAATGGAAGGTGGCGTAATGAAAATATTAAAAATAATGCTTTTAAATGAAACTAAAAAGCAACAGATGTGGTTCCGAAATTTGATGGGCTACCATTTGCTCCGTTGACCTCCTTTCGGTGGTCTTTGCGTGCCTCGTAATCGGGAGTCGCCGGTACCTCCTCCATTTCCACCTCCACCTCCTGGGCAGGAGCCATGACTCCGGCGGCGGCCATCAGCAGCTGTTGTTTCTTGAGAATCTTTTGATCGGGCAGGAAGCTACTGCCGCCGGCGGGCAGTATGGGCAATATGGAGAGGGTGGCCATCGTTTGCGAGGGCGGCGGCACCGATGGCGATTTCTTCGTATTGCCCTGGCGACTATTTCCCCCAGTGGTGGGCCTAAACAGATCCACCTCGAACTGCTTTCCCTGCTTGGCCTGCTTAGGCTTTCCCTTGGGGGAACTGCTCTCATAGGGTTCTAGTTCGGGGAAGATGGCCTGGATCTTCTCGTAGCGCTCGAACAGCTTGGGTATGCGGGAATTCGTCGAGGAGGTGGTACTCTCCTTCACCTGCTTGGCTGCTTTGATGGATCCGTTGCCGGAACTCGCCGTAATCTCACCCACCACTTTGCGACTCTTCTCGTCATAGGATTTCTCGCCGGAATTGGCCTTGGGTCGCTGGGTCTGCACTCCATTCCTGTCCTGCTTATTGCTCTTTTGCTGCTGTTGCTGCGAGATGCGATAGTACTTGTTTTTGCTAGTGCTTGTCTGAATGATGGTGCTCTGGGTGGTTTGCTCCTTGCGGTTGCCGCCCGGTCCGCCGGATTTTCCCTTGTTTCCATTGCCCTTGTTTCCCTTGGTGTTGGTCTTCTCCTTGCTGTTATTGTTAGCCTTTCCATTGGCTTTGCCCAATATGACACCATAGGTGGCTGAAATCTGTTGGTAACCCTGCTTGGGTGGTGCTGAATTCAGCAGCGGGTTGTTGGTCACATAGCTGGATTTATTGGGTGGAGGCACTTTGCCCAGGGGCAACTTGGACCCGCCCGAGGGTGAGCTACCAAAGTTATTGGGTGGAATGCGGGGATACTGGGGTGAATAGGCTTGATGCAGATTGCTGGTGGTGCTGCTGCTATTCGGGGTGGTGGCCTCAGAACCACTGGGCCTGGGCACTGAGATCGGATCGTTGGGACCAATGCTCTGAGTGGTGCCATAAAAGATCAGCGACCATTCCCTGAGCAGAGCATGGCCTACAAGCCGGTGGGTTAATGGGGTGTTCAGTGGGTGAATCGGTGGTGAGATCCACAAAAGCGCAGCATGTAAAACGTTACAGGTTTAAAGCATCGATCTGACGGCACAATGTGTGGTATCTGGGCAAATGATCGGAAACTTACCCATATAGCGACCCTCGTTGTGGATCTCCAGCTGCCAGTTTCCTTGCGGCGACTCTCCCCAGGTGTGCACAGACATGAAGGGCCACTGGTTGAATCCGGAACGGGAGTTGTCATGTACCCTGGTGATGAAGTGGATTAGCAGTAGAACGGTGGCTACCATCTGCTCCACTTACCTAGGCGTTAGGAGCGTGACACTGGTGTTGGCGGGAGACCTCAAAAAGAGCTGAATGTCTCCGCGTCTCTGCGATGTAAGCGTAATCTTGGCCTGGACGTGCTCCAGATAATTGACCGATCGACAGTGGTTAACCGTCAGTTGCATGGTAATGTGGGTACGAGGTGGAATGACCCTGGCAATTAGAGAATTGGGATGAGTACGAGAACAAAGGGGTTAACCAATTTTCATCCGTACTTGTCGACATGGGGAGCGTTGATCTCGCACCGCTGCTGCTCCGGCACCGTCTTCCAGTTGCGGGCCACGCGCACCATCTCGGCGGCGTCCATCAATCCGTAGCCAAAGGAGTGGCTCACCCGCCGCCCCACCCCGTTGCGGGACCAGCTGGGGTCCTTAAGGTTCGCCGGCTTGGCGGTGCGCACAACAATGTGCTGCAGGTCGCGCCAGGTGAGATTCTGGTTGGACTGCAGCACCAGGGCGGCTATGCCAGCGGCGAGCGGGGCCGACGCCGAGGTGCCCGTGTGGGAGACAGTGCACGAGTGGTGCAGGTCCGTGGTGACCACCTGCTTCTCGCCCTGCCCGCCGCTGCTGTAGGTGGTGGCCAGCGTGGAGCTGCACTTCTCCGAGTACCAGGGCACATGGCCCTCCTCCGTGGCACTGGAGATGGACAGCGTCCAGATGGAGTTCGTGTAGCCGTCGCAGTTGCAGTTATCCTGCTCCCGTCCGCCATTGCCCGATGCCCAGATGAAGATGCTGCCCTTGCCGCCGCGTCCCTTGGTTGTGCCCTCGATGAAGGCGCGCGATGCCAGCTCCCCGGGTCCGTCCACCGTCTTGCCATCGTCATCGGGTCCCCAGGAGGCACTGTATATGTCGATGTGCTGCGGATTCAGCGACAGTGATCGTGCCTCAACCGCATCCGTGACGTCTCCGTCCAACATCCTGACTCCGCCCACACTGGCGCCGTAGGCAATACCCACCGCGCAGAACGAGTTGTTGGCGGTGGCTGCCACCTCGCCGGCGCAGCGGGTTCCATGGCGATTCGAGTCCGTCATGTCGTAGTGCGGCATTGGATCTTCGTCGTGGCTGTTCACATCGTACGAGGCTTTAGGATCCTGTTAAGGTTATTAAATGCTAGCTTAGTACGGGTTTAATATTGTTAACCAATCTCACTACTTACGTAGTTATCCTGTATGTCAGGATGATCGGATTCCAGGCCATCGTCCAGAATGGTCACCACCACGCCCTTGCCGGTAATGCCCTGCTTCCAGGCGGGTATCACATTCATGTCCAGGCCACCACCACGATTCTGAGAATAACATTATATTTTAGTCATATTATTATACCTGTTATTGGTAGAGTTAATGGGTATACTAGATTGGTTGAAAAGTAGGAAGGAAGCATTTCATTTAGCGCTGAAATGTAGAAAGTAAAAAAAATGTCCAAGGCTGAAGTTCTATGCTCCATAACTCAACTTATCCTAATCGGATTTTGAAGTGGCATACCTCTAAATGTTTCTGGCACAATTCTCTAAAAATCTGCATTCAAATTTAGAAATTCATTTTTTTAAATTTTTTATAGTTTTTTTGATGTTATGATGTTATAGAAATTAAGAATAAATATTTTAAAATAAATATTATAACATTTCAAACACTTGTATGAATAACATTTGCCTGGTTATTTGTTCAAGAGGGATGCCAATGTGATATAGAAGTAATCACACTTAAGAACACTAGTGTCGAACTGGGGTCGAACACTGCTCGACCAGTAAGAGAGATTTCTTGAAATATTTTGTGACTCTAAATTAGAAGACATATGTACATACATACATACATACATATATACGTACATGCATACATACATACAACACACATACATACATACATACATACATACATACATACATACATACATACATACATACATACATACATACATACATACATACATACATACATACATACATACATACATACATACATACATACATACATACATACATACATACATACATACATACATACATACATACATACATACATACATACATACATATATGCATGCAAACATACATACCATACACCGGTACATACACTTCACATACACTACACATACACTACACATACAAGAAAGATTACTTGACATATTTTCTGACTCCAAATTAGAAGACATGCCTTACAGTCTGCGCCAGAACTAGTTGGGAATTATAGGGCTACAAGAAAATATTTTTCCCGAACAAATATTAAAAGCGGCAATAACTATGTGTTCCAACATAAGTTAAACATTCTTCAGGCTTTATTCAAGACAATTTTTACTGCTCACTTTAAAAACCTCACTATTTCACTCACTAAGATAATTATGACAAAATAATAGATTATTATTTTATTACTTACAGCTCGAGATTAAGTTAGTAGCAATTTGTATACGAATAAACATAAAAATATATCCCTTTCAGTGTAGATAATCAATTTCTTAACAAGTTCTATACTCCATAACTCAACTTATCTTAATCGGACATTGAAGTGGCATACCTCTAAATGTTTCTGGCGCATTTCTCTTAAAATGTGCATTCAAATTTATAAATTTATTTTTTTAGTTTTTTTCGTAATTTTTCAGATGTCTTGTTGTAGAATTTCAACCGAGATTCCAGAAATTTCTCGTTTGCACTTCCACTAGCTGAGTAACGGCTATCTGATTGTTTCTAATTCAACTACAAATTATATGTTATACTTATGGTTGAGTTCTTGAAACATCAAAACAGTGCAAACATCATTATATTTTCTAAGAATGGTATTGAGTTTGCTCGCATTTTCGATCACTTACCAGATACCACATTTGAGGCCACTTGGAGTCGTTAAAGGACATGGCGTCCACCATGGACATGGCCCGCGAGGAGGTCCTTGAGGGTCGCATGCGGATGAAGTCCCGCTTGGATCGCGACTTGGCCCGCTGCTGCTTCGCCCAGTGGACGCGATCGTCGTCATCCAGGCGAGTTTGGTGATGCGTGGCGGGGGAGAGCGACCGCTTCGAGACCTTGTGATGTGCGAAGTGGTAGTGATCATCGAAGATCTGCAAGGAATGATGGGTTCATCGATTAGTTAGCTGTTTACGAACTAACACTTAAATTCAATAGTAATCTGAATGTTGGGAGATAGCAATCCTTGCTCGTAACCTCTCAGTAAACTAAGGGCAGATCATTTGTTTAAATTTTTAATTTTCCAAAGAAGTTGATATAGAGCCAATAATTTCTTTATACTCTGGCAATCATGTCTGGCGGAATGCAAGGAATTCGCAAGCTGGCCGACAAGCTCTTCACAGCCAGCGAAATTAGACGTTTTCAGGCGTACAAGAATCGTTTCAGTGAGAAGTATCTGACCCTTGAGGGCCTAAAGTCCACCTTCAAGAGACCAGATTTGGAAAAACTATTCAATCGCCGCGTGTTTTCATCAAACAAAGAAGGTAAGCAATGCAGATCGCTCACTTCCTGGTAAACTCATAAGGAGCATATTTAAGAGTGCCGCGAAGAGCCAGAAGTTAAGGAATGTGACCCCAGCTGGGATGAGCTGTATCCTCCCGGTCCGCCATACAAGCCTCGTGACACACACTACTGGTATCCAGATCCCGAGTTCATGAATAAGCAACAATACATTGTCTGGTATCCCGAGGGCGACGAGTGGAAGAAGCGCCCCAATTTTACGGGAAAAAAGGTTCCACCCGTCGATCGTAGTTTTCGCACCAAGCTCATCAACTTTGGACCCGCCCATCCGGCGGCACACGGAGTACTCCGCATGATCCTCGAGCTGGACAATGAAACGGTACTGAATGCCGATCCCCACATTGGACTACTGCATCGCGGAACCGAGAAACTGATCGAGTACAAGACGTATACTCAGGCACTGCCCTATTTCGATCGGCTGGACTATGTTTCCTGCATGGCCAATGAGTTGGCCTACTGCTTGGCGGTGGAGAAGTTGCTGAATGTGGAGGTTCCACGCAGGGCCAAGTTCATACGCACCATGTTTTCCGAGATAATGAGGCTCACGAATCACACGATGGCCATAGGTTCCTCGGTGCTCGATTGCGGAGCTATAACGCCACTCTTCTGGCTGTTCGAGGAACGTGAGAAGCTGTATGAGTTTTCGGAACGAGCTTCGGGAGCTCGTCTCCATGCCGCCTACATTCGGCCGGGGGGCGTGGCCAGTGATATACCTCTGGGCTTTCTGCACGATCTCTACCAGTTCATCAACCAGTTCAACGACCGCTTGGATGAGGTGGAGGACGTCGTGACCGACAATCGCATCTGGCGTATGCGTAATATTGGCATTGGCGTCATATCCGCACACGATGCCTTGAACTATGGATGCACTGGACCCGTTCTGCGGGCCACTGGCGTAAAGTGGGATTTGCGCAAGCAGCAGCCATATGATGCCTATGATGAGATGGATTTCGATGTGGTCGTGGGATCGAATGGAGACTGCTATGATCGCTACTTGGTGCGCATGCGTGAAATGCGCGAATCGGTGAATATCATCAAGCAGTGCATCGACCGCATGCCACCGGGTGAGATCAAGGTGGATGATCTGAAGATCTGCCCCCCGCAGCGAAGCAGAATGAAGGAGGGCATGGAGGATCTGATCCATCATTTCAAGCACTTCTCACAGGGATTCCGTGTGCCTCCGGGACAAACTTACAGTGCCGTGGAATCGCCCAAAGGCGAATTTGGAGCCTTCCTCATCTCCGATGGCTCATCGCGTCCCTATCGCTGCAAGATTCGTCCAGCTTCCTATGCCCATCTAGCCCTCATGGCCAAAATGGCACCAGCCCACCTTTTGGCCGATGTTGTGGCCATTATTGGATCACTGGACATCGTTTTTGGCGAAATCGACCGTTAGTCAGGGTTTTGAAATTTCCATTACTTTTATTATAGACCCTTTATGTGTGTGAACCAAAGCCCAAAACCCAAATAAAACGGAAAGCTATTTAAGCAGCGAGTCATTTCAATTACACTCGGAAAAATTTATACTTTTTTGTATAGAAAAATGCTGGCCGAAAAAGCCTAGAAAATATAATATTTAATAAATTCAATTATTCACCAAATACAATTCAGTAATTTAGTTTGTTTATGAAAATTCATATTTGTTAATATCTAAGCCAATTTTCTTCTGCAAGTGTAAAAGTCTAGAGCACACACACATAATTTTAGTCCAGAGCATGAGTGTAATTAAAATGGGCTTTTATTATTTTTGAAATTTGTGCAAAATTGTTCTGATTTAGTGACGCATGACATAAGCTGCTCCGTCTCTTTCCCTCGCTATCTGCCATCTCTCTTCCCGCCAGTTCCTGTGTAAGTGAGATAAAATAGTAGCTGGGATTTTGCCGCAGTTTTGAGAGCTGTGTGTGTGTGTGTGTGTGGGAATGTGTGAGCTTTGTTGTTAATTGAATTTCATTGTGCTAAATTCTTTGGCAAATTGCAATTTAAAGGCTGCACACGAAGCCGACTGCGAGTCAAACTATTTTGCAATTACAATTACAATTAGTTGTGCAGAAGCGTTGACAGAATTAGTTATGGCAACTACTGGGCCGTAAAGTTGGGCCACATTGTTTTGGCCAGCCACAGGAACTCGACCAATTTGGGAGGTGATTGCCATACATTCCAGCCGCCATTCTCTTTCGCCCACTAAGGTTTGCCATAACTGCTGTGTGAATAAGCGTGTTTTAAGTTGGACTTAATTGTAGGCGAAATTCTGAGTTCCTAGGAAGCTACATCCACCCAAAAACATACTGCTACATCATTAAGGACTATGCCAAAGTCATCACAAAGTTTGCTACCGCGGGTAAACGCATAAAAGTATGCAACACAATTTATTTAGGCCCACAGCAGGATGTCGCCGTCGATTTGGCAAACAGCGGAAGAGGCTTTCTCCTTCCGGCTGCCACTTTCTCACCCTTCCCCAGCTTTGCAAACACGTTCCGCATTTCATTTTCGTTGGGATGTATAGTTTTAGGTCTGAACAAGTTGTATGCCTTAAAAGTTTCGCATATGTATTAGAAACAATTTCATATTTAATGGCATACATGAAATGAATAAAGTTGCTAGGAGTAAGAGGCATATACTCGTACATAAAATTGACCAGCTTATTTTGAAATTGCCAAGCTTTAAAAGCAGGAGCAAGGATGCTGTCAGACTTGCCCCCAATGTTTTCCAGTGTTTGTTGAAAAATGCGTGCTGTTGAATGGCGCAGGATGATAGGCGAGGCATACATATTCGCCGACAGCAGCAGACTGAGACCCCAACATCCTTCCCCAACTATCCCCCACCCTTAAACCCCCACTATCCCCACCCTTAACCCCCTGTTGGCACGGCTGGGCAACTACTAAAATTTTAATTGCTGCTACTCTCTGCGTACGTGTCGCCCAGCGCTCAAAGCTCGTTTAGTTTTTATGTCCGACGAGTGGTGCCACGCCCCCTGCTCGCGCGCCCTCTATCAAGTTTATTAATTTATGCAGCACACACACATATGTACACTTGGATTTGTTTACTTGCTGCCTGCTCTTGTGCATATGCAATTTTGTCTAACATTTTAATTGAGTTGGGTGGAAAAGTTAAGTTAATACCTCGCACACGCTCACAAACACGCAGTCTGCTGGGTATCCACATTTTAGCAAAAAAAAAAGCAAATGATATACGTATATATATGTATATAGGATCAGTTTTGAGTGCTCCGAGGGCCAGACTGGCAATTGGCTTAGTTTTAATTGTTTTGATGCGGTTTCAATTAAAAGTGACTTATGGAAGTCAAGCTGCCAACGCTTCAATCAAGGACTCCGACCAGGATGCTACTTTCAGTAGCCTTAAATAAATATTATATTAAGCAAATGATTTAACTGCATAATGCGTAGTTTGTTGACGTAAATAGGGGAAGTATAAAATGTAATATACTAAAGAATAAATCACATTGGCCAAGTTAAGCGATCCTAACCGCATGAAGCTAATTATTTGGTTCGTTGTCAAAAAAAAAGAAAAAAAGCAGATATAGAAGAGGCAGTGAAACGATGGCAAACATTGTCAGCAACAAATCGTTTAGAGGCAAAGAAGGATATGCTAAGCTGTGAATAATGCCCACTCCATGGCAGCTTCTAAAATTGTCAACAATTTAATTAATCAACGCGCTGGTGCAGGCCACCTCGGGGAACTCCCTGATAAATGGCTGTTCCGAGCGAGTGAAAGAACGAGCGTAGGAGGACCAGGGATATTGGCTTAGCCATTGGCAGCAATGTCAGCTGAGTGTGGTTTTAAATTAATACGTGCACTGAGAAATACGTTAGCCTGATGCGAAGCTGCTAGATACAATTATTTGCAAATTGAACTACGGCTTTTCCCTCACTGCATTTGCAGGGAACAACAACCTCAATGTGCTCAATTGCCATTGAAAATGGTTAATTTTTCGCCGTCGCCATTGGAGGCCTTGGGGCATCGATGGAACGCCAGAGTCGCGAACAGAAAGTGGCACAGGACCTGCACCTAGTGACAGCCAGACAGGAAGCAGCCCTGTATAAATATGTGCCCCGTTTCATTAGCTACTAATTAATTTAGCTCGCACACAAGCACTCACCGCCAACAAACCAGCCACCAACCCACCAACGCGTCAAGAAGGAAATGCAGTTTGGATTTTCAATTAAGTGGGCGGGCCAAGGAAGTCGGAAGTGTGCAAGCTGGGGATGTGAGATCTGGCCGCTTGCATGCTGCAAAATATTACACAGTGTTAAAAGCGCTGACAGGTGCAGCGAACGGAGCCCCAAGTCCATGGGCTGAGGTACAAACTACGAGAGCTGTAAACTGTCACACAGGAGCTGTGAAAGATGTCAAAAGCAGCGGAGTAGGCTCTTGTTTGTTGGCTGGTTTGGTGGGGAAGACGAGCATCCTGCTGGGGATCGCCCTCCGAAAAGGTTAAACATCATTCCCAGAAAAAATGGTGGCTTAACAATTTTGCTGTGGGTCGGCTTTTTTCCAACGCGATGCAAATACATATGTGTATTCATTGTCCGTCACTTGATACTCCTTTATGCACTTGACATGTTTGAGTAAAAGAAAATGAATAGGTAATATACAAAGAAATGGAATTAAAATAATACAGATCATCTTAGAGACCAACTTTTGTGATTGAACTTGTTTTCTTTCTTTTTTTAAATTTCAGCAATAGATTTTAACTGCAATTTTTGACCAAAAAATGGTCATAGCAAATATAAACCAACAAATAGAAATGGTTTATAATGGTTTTTCAAGCCCTCTTACGTTCGGTTCTTGAGTACATCCCTGGGTTTCGGCACAAAACACTCTCGCTGAAATCCCACAACCATGTCGAGTTGTTTGCCAATCATTTGGGTACCAACGTTGCCATTTGCATATGTACATTGGATACCTGGCTGGCTTTTGTTTCCCTCATCAGCACAACGATGCCATAAAAACGTATATGTTTTTCCGGGTGGCGGCCGTAAGTTTTCCCTGCCAGCCTTTTGTTAAAATATTTATAGAAAATGGCGACAATTTGCGACAAACAATTGCGGGTCAGACTCCACGCACTTTACATGCCATGTTGTGGCTTTTATTTGCCTCTCGGTGTACGCGCATTGTTTGGAGTGGCGAAACCATTTTATCCATAGGTCAAACCTCATTATGATCTTCCATGCATTAAGACTGAAATGGGTAGTAGCTCTGGGCTACACTTATGGCTGGATGAACAAAAAGTCGCACTCCCTCCCACGCCTCGCATATGCCAGCTTTCCACAAGGTGATACCCCAGGGCTGGCCAAGGAAAATCTACCCCCGTTCGGCCATCTCGTGTATCCCGAAAATACATAATTGTTTCCATGGGAGAGATTGTAACTATACTATGACATGGTTTCCCTCAGTGTTTTTCTCGTATTTTTGCACTTCCAATCAGGTGGGGCAGCCAACCCTTCGGATTGCCGAAACTGTCCCCTGTGGGTAGCTGAATGTAAGATACAAAACCGAATCTGACCGGCCGTCAGGGTAGCAAAGGAAAAAATTTAATAAAGCAGGAGATCAGCTGTTGTAAATTCCTGGCATGAACTTCCCCTCACAATTTCTCGGTTTTTATGGCAATTGGGGGAGCAATACATATCTTTTCGCAAATCTGTATCTTACGGGGTTGATCCAGGATACTTACCCTTTGTGGAATCTTCGACCATAGCCTCAAACTAGAGATGTCTTAATGAAGATGGCAGAATATTCGATTGCAAATGATGAGACGTTTTGGGTTTCGAAAACGCATGGAAGAAACTCTCTCAAGTTGTTTAAGGCAATTTAAAATACACTTCATATCATAAACTCGTATATTTCGTGCATAATAATTAGGTAATATTGTAATATAGTGCACTGTGCACTTACAATTTTAGTAGCCACTGCATGCGAAATGCAATTTATTTGATTAATCATATCCATGATTAACGATTCACTTGCATACGAAGCCTTTCTCAAATTAATGCAGCAATTTAATTGTGTGCATTTTCATAGGTAAGCCTCGTACCTCGATTTATTGTTCGAAATTAATTGAAAATATAAAATCATTTTGGTTTTAAATTATGCGGCAAAGCCTGGCTACGGAATATTAATGACATGGCCAGAACAGCACCCAGTGGCGAAAAGTGAGTTTTATTTTAATTGATGCCATTCAGTAGTCTCCAATGAGATCGAATCACTTTGCTATTTACCGGTTGTCCAGGTGAAAATTAATATTCAAATTGAATTGACAACAGCAGCCATTACTATTCATTGCAGCCGTTAAATGCTGAAAGGTGGATTAAATCGTTCATCGCAGCCTTAAATCCGACTTCCAATCCGATGTCCAATAAAAGACGCATCACTCCAGATGGATGGCCACCAAGAGGCCACTTCTCGCGAAAAGTTGTTGAACAAAACCCGAGAGCCAGCTCAGCTGGCAGTCCTGTAAACAAACGACATCC